TAGACTCCACTATTGATACATTTACACAATGGAGTACTATTCAGCCGAAAAAAACAATGGACCATGGGATCCCTTTGGTCAATGACTTGATTAGATGTAACCCATTCCTGGTACTGAAAACTTCATTTGGTGATGAGAGACATCTCTTTGGCAATTTCATTTAGATTGGTTCATATCTGATAAGGGTCTGTTATGCAAAATACATAAATAACTAAAAATATTAGATACCAAGAAGGAAAACAAATGAATTTAAATGAGGTACTGATTTAATCAAATAATTAGAGAAAACTCAAATGGCTGAGAAACACATAAAGGAAATGTTCAACATTGTTAGTCATAAGGGAAATGCAAATCAAAACTACTTTGATATTTCACCTTACAACTGTGTGAATGGCTAAGATAAATAAGAAGATGCGGAGTAAGGGCAACACTCTTCCATTGCTGGTGGCAATGCAAACTTGTACAGCCAGTATGGAAATCAGTGTGGTGGTTAAACAGGAAGATGAGAATTGGTCTACCTCAATTCCATCTACCAGATACACCAATCTTGGGCATATATTGAAGAGGTTCTTTCCAGCAAGGTCCCACCTAGTCCACAAATGAACACATGGATGCTCTATTGGTTATAAAGCTGTTGGCCTACCTTTCCCAGAATTCTCCCCGTCTCCTAGTCTCACCAGTCATTGCAGCCTCATTAATAATAGCCAGAATTTGGAAACAACCTAGATGTCTGCCAACAGATGAATGGATAAAGAAAATGTACATTTACATAATAGAATGTTTCTCAGTCACTGAAAAAAAATGAAATTTGCAAGTAAATGGATGGAGCTAAAATAAACCGTCCTGAGTAAAGTAACCAAGATCCAAAAAGACAAATACAGTATGTATTCACTTATGTGTGGATGTTGGCTCTTAAGTCATTGATAAGCAAGCTGCAAATCAGAGAACCACAGAGGTTAGTTTAGAAGTAAGGGAATGGGGAGGAGGAAGGATGGATCTCCTTAGAAAGAGCAAATGGAATAGGTAGTTAAGGATGGACAGAAACTGGACTGGAATGTAAGGGTAAAATTGTGAGAGAGAGGAACAGTGGAGCAAGGATAGAATATGGGGAGGGACAGATAAAAATAAAGTCCATTTGAGGTGTTGTATGGAAACCTAATACAACAGAAGCTTCCTGAATTATATACAAGAAAAACATTCTTATAAAACCATTTAGCTGAACCTTTAAAATGTGTATATCATATTTCAAATCAATTATTCTTCAATATTATTTTTAAATTTAGAATTTTTGGAGTTCCTATAAAGATGTTCTAAAACTGTGTAGAAATGCAACAGTATAATGCTAAGATTGGAAAGTTCTAAATTACTTTACAACTTTAGGTATCCTTCATGTAACAGCCAAAAACGTTTATGGGTTCCCCTGATGATAGGGAAATTCATGATTAAATCAATTTTCAAGCTCTTACAGTTTGGTTCAGTGTTTTCCCCAAAGGATTCTCAATCTCTCCCACAAAGAGGACCTTAAGTCACCCGCTTCATTTTGCTTGAAGTACTCAAACATGCTCTAAGATCAATTAACCATAAATTGGAATTCTTCCTTCAAAATAAAAGGTGTATTCAATAAGTCCTTATCAACAACCTGAAATATTTTATAGGGTACTTATTCATGAATGATAATGTTGCACAAGGAAGCATAGAAAATGATGTTACTGTAAAGCAAGATTCTCTTCCTAGTTAGATTTTTTTCTAAATGGCTCGTGTCAAGTTAAACGTAGGGACTATATCAAACAATTCAGATAAGCAGAAGAATGAATTGGCAAACTAAAACATTTCATTTACTCTGACTTCAAGAAAGTGATATGTAAAAGTTTTCTCAAGTTTGCCAAAATACTGACCTTTTTCTTAAATAAAAAATCATAATGTGAACCATCTTACTACTGTATGCTGTCATACAAAAATTCAGCTAAAATATCGCTATAACCTTCTACTTTAGTCATATTTGGAGTGATTTTTCATAAGTTATGGAGTTCTGTCATTTCATATATATATATATATGTTTAAATTAGAAAAATCTTATTTTCACATCAACCCCAGTTCCCTCTCCCTAATATCCTCCAATGTCCCCCATCCCAACCCCATCCACTTATCTGTTATTCCTTGTTATCATCACTTCTTGTTTCTGTTATTGGTGGATCTTTGATTCATTTGAATAGGTTATTTTCTGTAATAATTGGTGGTATACTTTGGGAAAGAGATATCCACCTGAGTCTTCACAGAACCGAATTTGTTACCATAGTCAGTTTAGTATATCAGCAATCAGAATTATCGTTCACTACATACCAGATATTTTTTTATTTTTAAATTTAAGTTTATATTAGAAACAAGGTTGCTTCACATGTCAATTCCAGGTCCCTCTCCCTTTCCCTCCCTCCTCCCCTGCCTGCCCACCAACCCCCCCAATATCCCCTCATTTCCCCAGGGAGGGTGAGGCCCTCCATGGGGGTGTCCATAGTCTGTCATTTCATATAGGGCAGGGCCCAGAACCTCCCCCAAGAGTTCAGGGTGAGAGTGCATCTCTCATTGTTGGATGGGAGTCTGAAGTCCTTTTGTATACCCGGGATAAATACTGATCTACTACCCAAAGCACAATAGATTACCTAGGCCTCCTCACTGACACCCGCATTCGGGGGTCATGATCAGTCCCATGCTGGATTCCCAGGCATCAGTCTGGTCAGGTCAGTTGTTTCTGGGGGTTAAACCAGCCCAGTCTTAATCCCTTCAGTCATCGGGCCTCCCTCTCTATCACTGGCTTTCTTGAGTTCAGCTAAGTGTTTAGCCATGGGAGTGTGACTCTTCTTCCATCAGCCACTGAATGAAGGTTCTGTTTCCCAGACTCTCTGGTCATGGGATTGTAGGCTGGCACTTCCCAGATATAGGTCTAAAATCCATATATGAGAGAGTACATGCCATGTTTCTCTTTTTGTGACTCTTTACCTCACTCAGGATGGTTTCTTCTAGTGCCATCCATTTGCCTGCAAATTTCAGGATTCCATTGTTTTTTGGTTTTTTTTTTGCTTAACAGTACCAGATTTTATGCTAAATATTTATGTCTCTTTTATTTACTATTCACACAAACCTGAAAATAAGGAATTGTTCCACTGGTTTGAAAAATGAAGATTCAAATGCATATTTGAAATATTTTATATAATTTCTGCTGTGTTTTAATGTTTTTTGCATGTGAGATGTATGTGCATGTGTGTGTGTGGTGTGCCAGAAATCCATGTTATATATCTCCCCATATCGCTCTCTTCCTTACATTTTAAAAGATCCAAAATTGTTATTAGGACTCTTCATCAGATGCTTTCTACTATATATATATATATATATTTTTTTTTGGTTTTTACGAGACAGGGTTTCTCTGTATTGTTTTGGAGGCTATCGGTCCAGCCCGGCCTCGAACTCACAGAGATCCACCTGCCTCTGCCTCCCGAGTGCTGGGATTAAAGGTGTGCGCCACCACCGCCCGGCTCTACTATATTTTTTTGGAACAGGATCTTTCAATGAATCTTGAGCTCATTGTTTCAAGTCTGGAATTTACCTGTCCCCTTTTGCCCAGCATTGGTGTTACAGTCAAGCCACACTACCTGGCTTCTCTGTGAGAGATGGGAATCCCAAGCCTGGTCATGAGAACTCAGATTGCCATCATGTTCACAAAGCACTTCAACAGTTGAGCTATCCCTCATACCAGAATTCCACTATAATAAAATAGTGTAATGTTAGAGGCATTTTCCTCTACTCCAAACTGCACAAACATATTACTGTGTTAATAGATGACTCCAACATTCCTGCCTTTTAGGAGATTCCAAGCTACAGAGCATAGAGCAAGTTAAAAATTTACCTAACTTATCACTGTAGAGTCAGATGTTTCTTAAGTTAGATGTGACCCAGTTAGTAAGAGACGATACAGCATCTCCACAGAAGACCACATTAAGATGCACATTAAAATGATGTGTTGTGGTCCTCAGATCAATAGCATAGAGTTTTGCTAAATTGTACAAAAATTTTACACAAATCTCATCAAATTGCTTTCTATATCACTTCAAAAAAAGCAAACCATTTATTTTCTCACATAAGATATAATTTAAATATTCCTTGACAGTTACTATTCTTTCCCTAAAGACTGGAGAAACCAAGCATAGTGCCCAAAATGTTTCTAATGTAGGTTCCTATGAAATGTTCATTTAAAATATTTGCTAAGAATTGAACCCAGATTGCCAATCCCGCTAAGCAAGCATGCTAAGCAAGCCTGCTTTATTATTGAGCAATACACCCAGCACCACACATATGCATGAATTTGTGTGCAAAACCATATTATTTATCATGTGTTAGGCATTGTCAAGACATTTATATATTTAAATTCTTAATAGCTTAGCTTCAAGGCAATGTGAGTAACTATGAGTTTTAAAAGACATGAATCTATTCTGTATCTTTGCTCATAATTAGGTGCCTAAGTGTCAAACTGTAAATTTCATCGAATTTTGAGAGCTCAGTTTGTGTAACTTTTCAGTATTTAGATTTACAACTCCAAAACTTCAAATTGCCTTTTAGAAAAAAATTCATCGTATTTGAAGTTAGTTTTTGCAAGTGTGGGGATGAGAGGAAATAACTTTCCAGTCAGCAAGAAGTCCTGGTTGCCACCCTCCAATTTTATTCTATTACTGGGTGAAAATAGATTAATGTGCTTTCCTCCACTATGCCAATATATAATGCATGAGCACAATTACCAGGGTGATTTAGAGACGGAATGCCTTTAATCTTCTGTTCAAATCAACCAATTACAATACTTAAGTTATGGAATGTTCTATGATTGTGCATAGACTTGTAAATAGAACTGATCTTAGTTATATATGGTTAGGAAAATGTGAACCCTATGATCTTACTTATATATTACACAAGTTATGGAAATACATCATGCATTTTATTAGCTAATCCAAACATACCATTTTGAGAGTTGTAGCTAAGGAGAAGATACTCTAGTCAAAATGATTCCATTTTTCCTCTTGAAGAAAGTGGAGTTGCAGGGTTTCCAAAAGTCATTGGCACAGTCATAAATAGAAACATTGCACAACAAACTTCTGCGTGTCAATTCTTCTTTTCCTATAGTAGAGAAACATTCGCATTTCAAAACATACTGGGGATAGTTATTACCTTAAGGTGGTATTCATTTGCTGAGTTTACAAGTCATTTAAAATTTATTAGCCAGCCATCCTGCTTTGTTACAACTTACTGTTGTATTATTGTATCCTGAAACCTTAGAGGCAATGAAACTTTATACGTAAAACTTATAATCCACACAATTTGTCCTTGAAGTCCTTGATTTGAGGAGAAATGTGAATTTTAGTTTTAAAAGCTAAGTAAAATGAGAGGGTGTTTAAGAAATGCGTCAAAAATAGCAACGTGGGTTTTTCTAGGCATTTGGTGACTAAGATCGGGGCTTTGGCTTAACAGCCACTTGACTGAGTTTGCAGTTCCACTGTGGTTGGTTGACTTCCTCAATAACCACTCGCTAAAGACAGTATCAAAGTCAGCACCACGGATAGCTCCAAGCTTTCAGCATCTGGAAGAGGAACTCCTCTTGCAAGGCCAGCTGTAGCTAGGGAACAGAATGACAGAATAATCTATTTAAAAGGTAAAAGAAGACAGAATAAAACAGGCATCGGGAAAGTTTGTTCTCGATATTACCAGGGACAAAACTGTACATATTCAAAAAAGTCAAACTAACTAAAAGTTTCAATTTTGCCAGGCACTGTCTTCCCTTTGGTTGTTTTCAATACTTTCATAAGAAATAATTAGAATTTCTTGAGGCTTTTTGTTGTTGTTGCTTTTATTTGGATTTTTGAGCTTCATGTTTTATGGAACATATAAAGTGTTATGTTAGTTATTCTCCTATTTCCTACAAAATAGGTGATTCACCTCCCTAAACTAACCTTGCTTCTTGCCACGTAGTTCTATAGTCATTATTTCACTTCATATTTGAGCTGTAACTAACACAATATGAAACGACTGATGCAGAAAAAGCAGGACAATGGGCTACACCCTGACTTAGCAGAGACCCTCTAGCACACAGCTTGGTGTCCTGATGGAAGTCTATGGACCTTTATTGCCAGACAGGCAAAAGAAATTTGTCTATACTCTCTTTTGTAGAATGACATGGTAGCAAATACAGAAAGGAGGGTGGATATGTCTATTACACATTTAATGAAGGCAAAGAAGCAAGGGATAGGAGAAGAAACCCGGAAATAAAACCCAACAACTTTTTCCTAGCACAGCCTAAGTCTTCTGGAGTATTTGAACAGAAGTATGTGTAAACCAGGAGGAGATTCCCACATTGGAAGACTCTGAGAAGGAAGAATGAAGAGGTCTTAATGCTGTCCTGTGAATCTCTTCCTGTCTTATGCATGTGCTCCTTTAGAAAAGGTAAGAAAGCAGAGGGAACTGGCTTGTATGTTTAGAAGGTAAGTAGCAAGGGAGGTCACTCCAAGGCTGCAAACTCTTAGCCCCACCCACCTTTTGTTCCTTCTCCCTGGCGCCCAGCCTCACCCATTCCAAACTCTTGCCTTGTTTTGTACCATTTGTTTACACAATCTTTGACCTCATCATCCTCCTGGAAACCTCAAATGCTTGGAGAACCAGTCACCCCTCAAACGTTGCAACCCCTCGGGGACTCCCTCGGGGAAACCCAGCATGCTCAGCGGTGCTGACAGCCTTCAGTCTTTCAGAGGCTTAGTTCAGCACTGAATAACCCCGGCTTCATTCGGGACCCACCCCTGAGGTGTTCAGGGTCCGAGTGGACCCTGAAATTACACCTGCACTCTTAGGTGGCGCATCTTAGATCTACAACATCCTGAGCGCCAGCAGAGCTTTGAAACACTCAATGAAGGACTGGCTTCCCACCTGTCTTTTCTTTGCAGGGGAGGGTGTGTTAGCTATCTCGGTTTGAGGCGCTTAAGGATGGAGTCCTGTGGCTAGTGGCCATGGAGATCACCTTCCCAGAGTAGCTGTTTTATCACTGAGTTTTGGAGATTTCTTGGCTGCCTTCCGCTAAAGCACGCTTGAGTAGCCCGAGCTGTGGCTGCACCCAAGCTAAGCTCCCAGGATAAAGGGCTGTTTGTGTGTGTGTGTGTGTGTGTGTGTGTGTGTGTGTGTGTGTGTGTATGTGTGTGTGTGTGTGTGTGTGTGCGCGCGCGCGTGTGTGTAAAGGCTGTGTGTGTGTGTGTGTGTGTGTGTGTGTAGGGGGAGAGGGCGGGGACAGAAACGTCAACCCCCACCCTGCCTCCTTTTCTTTTTCCCCTTCCTGCAAAAGGCGCACAAGTCTTCCACCCCACCCCACCCCCGCCCACCAGCAATTTTTGGGGCTCTGGGAAACAGCCAGGTTAAGCCCGTTTGCACTGGGAAATTGGCGCTGTTTGGGAGAAGAGAAGAGAAACAGATCGATTGCCCTTGTGACTCCCCGCCCCCCCCCGCCCAGCCCGCCCCCCCGCGTTCCTCGGCCCTCCCCCGCCGCATCCCGCACCCCGCCTCCTCCCCTCCCCGCCCCCAAGCCTCTCACCCGCGGCAGGCCGGTGCGAGGCCCCCTCCGGAAGGTGAGCGGGATGGATTGGACTCCGGCGGCGAACGCGGGTGTCTCGAAGTGGTGCTAACGGGAAGAGATTTCTGCTCCCCAAAGAAGATGCGCTGCCACAAAGAGCGGCTTGCGCGCCGGCCTGGGCTCTAGCCCGGGAGACATCCCGGGAGAACTCCGAGCTCGGAGCGCTCGGCTAAGACCCGGACAACATGCCTGTTCGCAGGGGGCATGTGGCACCGCAAAACACCTTCCTAGGGACCATCATACGGAAATTTGAAGGACAGAGTAAGTTCGTTTGTTCTCTCTTGTCGCTCGCTTTCGGCTTTGGTAGAGCACTTGGCGCCTGTCGCTTTCAAGCTAGAGAGATGGACAACTCCAGGCTGTCAAGTTAGAGGCTGGGAAAGCCAGCCAGACAGTTGGGGTGGCAGCGGGAGTGTTCTCTCTCTTATATTAATTGGGATTTACGTTTTAGATTATGATCTCCATTGTACAAGGCAATTTGATCCTTCTCTCCCACTGCTCCATTATTTGCCTTGCTACTTCATGCCCTACTAGACTACTACCTTAAAGGGAACGTGCTGGTATAACATGGGTATGCATTATAACATGGTCTTTTCCGTGGCAGACTTTTTAAAGTCAGGAGCAGAACCGACCATAGACTCCAAACAATGACATGTATTTGGTAGTAGCCATGTAAATGGCTATGCAAACTGTGTTTTATCTTCATAAACTGCTTGGCTGTGGCATGACAAGGATGCTTGCTTGATGTTAGTTGGCTCCTAAAACTGAACTTTGTAAGGAAGCTGAAAATAGACGGCAAAGAATAATGTGAAGAGTGGTGGTCTGATTTTGGGTGCAAGAAGCTCACTACTCAAAAACCATATTTGCATGTCCCTGTGACTCCCCTAAATATGCCGTCTGGGAATTTAAAAATCAAAGTACACTCTGTAAATCCCAGAGACTAAATGTCGAAAATTTAATGTACTCATATAAGCAAACCACCAGGAATTATTTTGAATAAATCTAGTAATTTAAAATCCTATACTTGTCCATTTATATTCTACACTAAATCTTCCTCAGCATGCATTTAGGTGCATACTTTACAAATTTTTCAGTACTGCATTTAATGATGTGAAGATTTGGGGTCTGTGTAAATTAACTTCCCTATACTGCTTCATATTCTTTCTGGTAATAACAAATATAATTTGCTATTACACTTAATGGGATTTGTATTAAAATATCTACTATTACACAAAACATCTCTCTTGTTACAAAGAAAAAGTTTTTTTAAATGTGTTGCCATGATTAATGCCTATGTGTGTGATTTTTTTATCTTTTGGAATTGAGCATTATGGAGAGAGTAAGGTTTTACATTATTTAGTGTTAATAAATCTGAAATCATTTCATTGCTAAAGTTAATTGTCTTAAAAACACACCATGTGTAGAAACTACAAACATATATGATTTCCTTACAAAAATTAATAAAAAATATCAAATACAAGAATAAAAAGTGCTTTGAGAAAGTTACATTCTAAGGTTCAGGCAAAGTTGAAGAGAGAAACCTGACAGTTACAGGATGTTTCCATTTTCTGGTTTAGAAAAAAATTATCCTACAATTAAATGGCATTCTGGAACTATTCATTGCCAGGCTGCTTGTCTGTCTGTCTGTCCACTAAGACCCCAGGGATTCACAGAGATTGAGAACTAGATAAGTTGGAAACTTCTGTTCTTTAAATTGAAGAATAATTTTCTTAATTTTTCTATTTAATTAATTAGTGCCACTGGGCTCACATTTAATGTTCGTAGAGGTGTGTGTGTGTGTGTGTGTGTGTGTGTGTGTGTGTGTGTGTGTGTATGTATTTTTAATTCTCAGGGAAGGACTAAATAATTAGCACTTGGGGGAAGCAACTGCATTCCAGACCCTTATTATGCAACAAATTGTTTTAGTGTTTATGAGAACCTTGTGGAAGATTTTTAAAAGATGCCTTGCCCTCTTCTTATTGCAGATAAAAAATTTATCATTGCAAATGCCAGAGTGCAGAATTGTGCCATCATCTACTGCAATGACGGGTTCTGCGAGATGACTGGTTTCTCCAGGCCAGATGTCATGCAGAAGCCGTGCACCTGCGACTTTCTCCATGGGCCTGAGACCAAGAGGCATGATATTGCCCAAATTGCCCAGGCGTTGCTGGGATCAGAGGAGAGGAAAGTGGAGGTCACCTACTATCATAAAAATGGTAAAGTGAACCTGTTTAGGGTTCCTTGTATTTGATTCTCTTGAAATGAAATTTTGATTACTCAAAGTTCATATGCAGAGAAACCCCATATAATTAATTGTAGTCTTAGTATCCAACAAGTATGGATTTTCTTATTATTGGACCAGTAGAAAAAGGGTACCTTGTTTGAACTCTGTAGAGATACAGTAACTTAATGCCATCAAGAACAAAAATGTCATAAGTCAGCCCTGAAATGTTTTAAAGAAATAAGGTGAAGACTAGTAATTTACTGTTTTTACCATTCCATGCATAGTGTGAGAGAAACACATTTTATTTGCCTGCATTTGAACATATTTCACAAGATCTTCTTGGAAACTGTGTAATATGAATTAATAATTGGTGCAGTGATGGTTGTTTCTTGGTTTTTTAAATGTTTATAGATGGAACTACTTGTCTCTTTCCTGTGTTTTAAGAGAAGATTAAGCTGAGTTTATAGTAACTTCTATAACTGAGTCACTAAACTTGGGTATATACATATGTTATAAAATAAGAAATATAGAAGGCATTACTTGCTACAAGAAATACAGAAAAGTATATGTGAGTATGCAGCGTTATTACCGTTTACTTGTCCATCATAGATAAACTGTCATTTTAAATGTTAGGCCACTGTTTCAATTTTAAGGATACACTACCTTCTTATAGCCTTGCATGCATATATACTGTACCACACTCTCCCCCATTCCGGCCCTGCTCTCTCTCAAATTCATGTGTTTTCATTACATATATATTTATTTAGATACAGATATTAATAGATTACTGTATATGAATACTCATATAACCCCTCTTAACAAAAATATAGATACGTAATATGAAAACTTAATGGCATTTGTCAATTTAATAAAACACTTATAGAAAACATGTACACTGTAGTTTTTGCCAATATTACATCATCTATTTCTCCCTGTTGCATATACAAAAATTAATGAGGCTAAGAGACTCTGTCATAGTATAATCTATACCATATTATGACTTTTGAAAACTAGAGAGAAAAAACAGCAAAAGAAAGGTATAATTATATCTCTTATTTCTTTTAATTAAGCATGTCATGGTAAGAAATGTACACTTCTTAATTAATGGATTTTCCATTTATGAAGTTGAACTTGGGTAGGTATTTGCAACCAAGTATTACTGGAAAAACAGGTCTGTATAATTTTGTATTGCTTGGAATGAAAGCAATTATGCAATCATCAAACAGCACCGAGCTTGTTTCTTTAATTCTTCCCAGTTAGCTCTTACTTTTTGACCTGTAACATTGTATATTATAAATAGCCTGATGGCTCTACTCTCTAAAAATACTTCTGTGTTGAGACTCACAGAACACGGAACAGGGCAACTTACCTCCCTTGTCTATATGATGCTAAGAATCTAGATTTTTGAAAGTGTAAGAAGTTCACTGTTGGTTGTTTTCTGACTTTAAGGCATAAAGTTGACATAGTTTATGCTGTATTTGTTCAGAGCATGATGGAGCATCATTGGCTGATATATTTTGAAGATGGTTTCATAATTTTTCCATCTCAAAAAATTAAAGTAGTGCTCTGAGTAAATCAGTTAGGTGTTAAGTACATTTTTCAGAATGGTCTCAGCTAGGAATTGTATCTATTATGGTGCAACTGAAATGTGGACATTTTGAACCCTCATCAATTCAATTGCTATAACCACAAATGAACTCAGAACACTTTTCAGAAAGAATTTTATATATAACCACAAACTTATTGGTGATAAAATAGTAAAGTTTTCAGTGCATTTACCACTGCAAATCTATGCCTGAAAGATTTCCTTATTTATATGAATTACAATTTTTTTCATACAAGGAGTCTTTGTTTGGAAGCCTGTCAAAGTATAGAAATATCAGTTTTTCATGAATATTGTCTCTATGAATGTTTTTCTTAGGTGGGACACACTTTGAAGAAGTAGGGTATTGTTAGTGTTAACAGAAAAGTTTCTATTCAGCTTTATTTGGTAGAGGAAATGAATAGATGAACTCAGTTTTTCTACTTTTCAAGAAAAACTTATCAAATTAAATCCCCTTGAAGGTTATTAAGATACAGATATGTTTACCTACTTTGGATGCAATAAACTAGTGGTTAGCTAGTTCAGAATAGAATCTTGAGCATTGACTGGTGTATTCAAAAGACAGCTATAAAATCAGTGAAGGCTTGGGAGATTCAAACATTTTGGTAGCATCACCTCTTATTGACCTGCTGCAAGTCACTTTGTATTCATAAAAACAGACAAAGAAAAAGAGACAGGAAGCATTTTCATTAGTTTGTTTCTGAAAGTTTCCTTCATTCTTTTTAACTGAGGTCATTTACTTTGATGGTTTGGCTTCTTAAGTCTTGATTCTCTTTACTAAGTGCTTTCTTTGCTTACTAATTCCACAGTTCAACTAAATAGATCAGCTATGTAATGAATACAATGATAAAGTTAAGAGCAGTTGCTATATTCTGTGTTCACCATTCATTCATGATGGAGCCCCAAAACTATTGTGATGAGTAAACCAATAAATATATCTGAAAGCAGATTTTCTGAAGAGGCCCACTGGTTTCCTTAGCAGTGAAGGCCAGAGATATATGCAGTGAGTCCCAAAAGAAGTGTCATGAGCTGCACAACCCACTGGGAAGCAACGCTTCCTTCCTTGTTCAGTATGTGACTATTCTAGGTAGAGTAGATCTTGCTGTTTACCAGAATATCAATTCTTAAAAAAAAAACCACTTATCTGAAGTAGAAGCACTTGACAGCCCTTCCTTTGAGAGTTCTATTTTACAGTTTAAGTCATTATTGCATAAATCATTCTTGGCAGCTCTGAATGTTGCTTGAGGTGATAAAGCTGTAAATCTTTTGACACGAAAGTCTAATTATATAAAACTATAATTACACTGAGACTTATATAAGGGTGGGCATGTATTTTAATACTGTGATGCCTTCCTATTTAAAACAACATACCTTGAGAAGAGTAGTGACTGAGAACTAGAAAACACTGGCTATTTTCTTGTTTGTGTTTGTAGGTGATGGAAATAGGAAAAATAAAAGAATATCTTAATTGGCTCTGCCATAATTTACTTGATTTTTTGGGGGGGTGTATCATTTCATAGAAATAGCCTGTTGAAACCTTAAAACTCTTCAACTATATTCAAGTATATAACACAAGTCACCAAGCAACTTCAAAAACCTGGAAAACGAAAGAAAACTTCTCCTGGACAAATAACACCTTTATTCAGAAGGAAATCAGGTCCTGAAATGTGTGAGAATTGGCAATCAGGCAGACACAGTACAGTTGAAATTTTATTATTCAATCAGTAGAGTATATAATTGGCTTTCTTGTTTTGTGCTGCTTTTCAATAGCTGGAGGATGGACAGTGGCTGAGGAGAGTCCTCACATGATCTACTTAGAGTTTCACAGGCAATGTTTAATGAAATTGAAAGTGGCTTTGGTTTGTTAACATTGAGTCTCTCCTTCCTGAAAGTTACACAAAAAGACCTAAAAGGTGCTGCTTTGCAAGTATGAGGGAAGGTTTACACTTGGTTTTACCTGTATCTTTGGTGACACATTCTTCATAGGTATGAAGAATGTACAAGGGGTCTCTATTTTGAGGACATTTGTATGACAGAGCAAGTGGTGTTCATCTGCAATTTCTGAAACATATATGTTTCTGAGAAGTTGCATATATGCAAACAGAAAACATATAGAGATCTTATGACATTTAAGATCAATCATTACACTTCCTCTATTATTCAACTTTAAAATAACTATTTAATAGATACTTTTTATCATACTTTGTTATTTGCACACTAAAATGACGTCTTAAGGAAGCAATGTAATTTAGTTAAAATTTTAGTCCTATGAAATAACTATTATAATAGCTTTACATAATCTTTATGCACATAATATATTCAGCTCTCCTAATTCTTGGATTGTGTAGTAGAGCTGCAGATGGTGGTTTTAAATACAGAAATAGAACTATAGTTTGTGTATATGTAATTCAAGCAACAGGAAAGATTTCCAAGGAGTGTGTTGCCTGGGATTTGTTTCTTTGTCACTTTCTTTCTCTTACCCAGACTTATCCATACTTTATTCAGCAGGATATTATAACATTATAGATTCTAAAATTCGTTTTCTTTCATGGATCTATTTTTTCCTAACACCTCATGCCTTCTGTAGATTATGCTTGAACCGTTACAGCTGTTAGTAAAATAGTAGTCTGAAAAAGTAGTCCTACCTATGGTCTGAAAACTTATTTAATTATTGTCTCATGTGAAACCAAAATGTCCTGAAGATAGGAATGGCCTGATCCTATCTTGGTACACCACCCTCCAGCTCTACACCTGTGATCACTGGTGCAGAAAGACTCAACTTTTACTGGTGGCTTGGGAGACAATTGCTTGCTTATTTTTATCCCTAAATGGGTTGAGAGCAGGTCAATTTCAAGGCACAGAGTAGGCTGATCAGAGAAGTTTCCTTCTGCTGAATGCTAAGGAGATGTGTTTACTCTGTGGTCTGTTTTGGTTGCGTGTTATACATAGACACCAGGTCTCCTCCAGTGACCTGCTGAGAGAATCCTTGGGCAGTTGAACTACATGGAAGTAGCAGGTATAGTATGGAGTACTGTGATGCACCAGTCATACTTCCATTTGAATTAGGAACCAGGAAATATTTATAATTTTTTTCTGTTTTTCCTAAACTTTTCGTCAATAATTGTCTCACAATACTACTTCTACTTCTCCATTTGCTGTCAAGTTCTCTTATTGACGTATGCATGACCCACTTTTGAAAGTGTGGAAGTATTCTTTTCTCCACTCTGCAACCCATTTCTCATGTTGTCATCAGAGGACTATTGCTAAAACATGAATCACTCAGACTATTTAGTGAAGCTATGTATCACTGTAAGTGAATTTTATGCATTAAATAAAGGGTATAATAATTCTATAAACTAGAGCCCTACTCTTCACCTTTTGCAGAAGGA